TTCGGTTATCGGCTTTGGCTTTTGGCATCCGAACCAACCAAGTGGTTTTCAGCATTTTATGATCTTCTTTCACTCTTTGGCGTGTTTAAACGGTTCTCCAACAAAAACACTTTGAGAACCATCTTTCGCTTTTAGTCGTTTGACAAAAACCATGCAAAACGGCGTAAACTTGGCTAGCCGTGGTTTTTACTCAAATGACGTGGTTTTTAAAGTAACTCACTTGATTTCTTAGCCAAATACATCAAATAAGTGTTTCAAACACTTGGTTTTTATTTTGGAGAACTTTGGATTTTTCGGTCGGTTTTTGCATTGGTTGGCTAAGCCGTGGTTAAGGGAAAGACCATGGGGTTTTGGCTAACCACCCACCCAGCGATGGGAAGATCTTCCCATCGATGGGTAAGCAGTCCCTAAGCCAAACCAATTTCCAGAACCATGCCAAACAGCGATGGGGAGTTCTACCCATCGCTGTTAAAGCCTTGGCGCAACATTATCACAAGGCAGAACAACCTTGCCCAGCGATGCGAAACCTATCCCATCGATGGGAGCCCAGCGATGGTAAGGTTAAACCATCGATGGGAAGGCATGAGCGTTGGTAGTCATTTAAGGTTGATTCTTTCCTTGTTTGGAAGTCAACCTCCCACCCAGCGATGGGAAGCTTGTACCCATCGATGGGTAGGCAACCGTTGGCTTCAAAACTGAAAAAATTTGGCTTACCAGCGATGGGTAAGTCCCAAACATCGATGGGAAGCCAATATCCTGCAGATCCCAAATCTTTTCAATCCCATAAATCAAGTCAATCACCTCTTTAATGCATTGGTCCGTTGGAGCCTATTTCTGCACTATAAAAAGGGGTGTTTGGGTCTGCTTTTCTCATCAATTCACTTCACAATATTCATATTATCATTGCATTCAAACAACATCATTTTTTCATAGCTTTCTAGAGCCAATTTGTGAAGTTTGAGTTGTTCTTGAGCGTATATAGTTTACTCAGCATCTACTCTAAAAGAGAGCCTTGTTCTTGAGTGTCTTAGTGTTGTATACACGTTAAGGGAAGCCTCTTTCCCTTGGTTGTACGAAGGAAAGGTATTTTCCTTCGGGTTGAAGTCTTGGAGTGCGGTATCTCCGAGCAAGTGTTTTTGAGGCTCGTGGGACTCGAGTTCTCAGGTTGTAACGGTTTGTTAAGCACCCGTAAGCTTAACGGAAGTAGTGTAGCTCGAGAGAGTCCCTCGGGAGGCTGGATTAGCCACAAGTTGTGGTGAACCAGGGTAAATCTTGGTGTGCTCCCTTTACGCTTTCTACGCTCTTTATCTTTCACGTTCTTAATTTTTTATTCCTGCGATTTCTACGATCAAACGCTATTCACCCCCCCCCCTCTAGCGTTGGTCACTTATTCTAACAATTGGTATCAGAGCCTAACTCGCGTCCAAACTTAACCGTTTGAGAGAAAAGAGATCATGGGTTCTACTTCTAGAAATTTGTATGCAGGAATAGGTGAAGGGCAATCAACCACACGGCCACCTCTTTTTGATGGAACCAATTATACATATTGGAAAGAACGAATGAGAATCTATATTCGTTCCACGAACTTCCAATTATGGTTGGTTATCAAAAACGGGGAAGAGGTGCCGATGAAGAAAGTCGGAGATAAGTTAATCCCCAAGAACGAGGACGAATTTGATGCCGAAGACATCAAGAAAGTGAAGAATTATGCAAAGGCAATAAACATGCTCTACTGCGCGGTCAATCCCGATGACTATCGTAAAATCTCTTGCTGCACAACCGCCAAGGAGATGTGGGATAAGCTCGAGGTAACATACGAAGGCACGGACCAAGTTCGGGAAGTGAAAATTGACTTCCTAACGCAGGAGTACGAGATGTTCAGGATGAAACCAGGCGAGAAGATCGACGACATGTTCAATCGCTTCTCAAAGATCATCAATGATCTTCACGCCCTAAAGAAGACGTATGCCAACAAGGACCTCATGAGGAAAATCCTGCGGAGCCTCACTCCCGAATGGAGATCAAAGGCCGACGCCATCTATGAATCCATTGGAGTCTCCAATGTAACCATCGACGGATTAAGAGGTAACCTTAAAACTTATGAATCTACAATTCTAACCCCATCTTTGGATGAACAAAAGAATAAAGGGATAGCGCTCAAAGCAACCAAGGAAATGGTTGGAGAGAAATCAAGTGATGAAGACAACGAGTTTGACCTCATCATCAAGAAATTCCACAAATTTATGAAGAAAGAGCACGAGCGCAAAGGAAAGAAGCACGACGATTCCCCGAAGTGCTATGGCTGTGGCGAGATTGGCCACATCAAACCGAGATGTCCAAAAGCCAAGAACGCTAAGGACAAACATGGGCTCAAGAAGCAACGAGCATACATCTCTTGGGGAGGAGACTCTGGCGACGAGTCAACCGACCAAGATGAGGATGAAGCTGCCAACCTCTATCTCATGGCACACGAAGACCAAACCGACGATGTACAGGAGGTATGTACCATTTCTTCCGACTCTTACACTTTTGAAGAAATGTAAGAAGCACTTCACGAACTTTATGATGAATTTGTTAGCGCTTCTAAACTCAACAAATCATTAAAGAAACGCCTTTCCACTCTTGAAAATGATTTTGAAAAGTTGGAAAAAGATAATGAGAAGTTGAAACAAGAAAATAAATTTTATGGCAAAAGAAGCACCGACAAACCGGAAAGTTCCTCAAACGAATGTGAATCTTGTAAAGTTTTAAAGGAACAAGTCACTAAACTTGAGAGTACGGTTAAGAAATTTAATACTCCGCACAAAAATCTTAATTTACTCCTTGACACCATGCATTTTTCTAAAGAAGGAATAGGTTTTGATAAAAATGAATCTAAGGATAAAAACGTTGAGCAAACACCTAGACAACCTCCTAAGGCTCAACATAAGAAAAGTAAAAATCAGGATAACAGAAAATCTAGTCAACCTAAGGACACTAGACAACCTAGACAAAAGCCTACGAATGAAAATATGCATGTTAGACAACCCAAGAAAAACTATCAAAATGAATTTGTGCATAAAATTAATTTTTCAAATAGACAAAATAATGCTAGAACACCTAGAAGAGAGAGT